ACTCAACAATCTTTGATGCGTAATGCTGTTTTTTTTTTTATTAGCATCTTAATTGGTCCAATACAGACAAGGCAGACAGACAGATCGAGAGAGAACGATAGACAAACAGACAATACCTCTATGACGATGTTATTGAAATTTAAATAATTTTTTATTATTATGAGTGTATGTGTGCTGATGACGTTTTGATCACACAGTCACTCAGCATTCATAATAGGGTGCGTGTTTGACTATTCAATCAATTTTTGTAAATAAATTTTTATAGCTATGCAGCAGCAATGAGGTTTTAATTAAAATTAAGGCACGCGTTTAACGAAATTCGGAGGTAGGGGAAGATAGGGGCTTTGGAAAAATTATTTGGCGATGGAGAATGTTTAACGAAAAAACACCATCAATTTTAGACAATTTCAAATGCCATCATTAATAGAAATAAATGATGGGTAAAAAAATATGAAAAAAATAACAACAAAATTTCCTAATAAAAAAAAATAAATAAAATAGGCAAAGACAAACAAATATTGAAAAATAGAATTTCGTACAAAATAAACAAATTAATTAAAATAGCACCCAAATACATTAAATTGATTAAGGGTGTGGAATTATAATAATAAAAACTAATAATTAGGGAGATGTAATATAAATGTTCATTACTTAATATTGAAAATTTGACATTTCCCAGAAAAAAACACTTGTTCACCAACGAAAGAAAAGAGGGAACCTGTTTTTGTATAAATTCTACATAAATTAACCACATAATTAAATTATACTTACCTTGAAGAGAGCTGTAATAAAAAATGTCTAAATTATTATCCCTAACCAAGGCTGTTGCCACACCACCCCTACTCTTCAACCTAACCACAAAGTGGAGGAGGAGAAAGAAGAAAGGAAAATTTTGTATTAACAGCCTTATCACATTAACAAAAAATCCGACGAATTATTCATTAAAAGCCCCTTTAAGTATGCAATACCAGAACCACAAAGACATCACTTAATAACCTACAAAAAGAAAATCAGTCACTCACATCCCCAACCAAAAACGCGGATTTTTACACACGCGGATAATCCCAATCTATATTCAATTAAGTGTAAAGAAAAGGAACAACAAAAAAAGACTTTTTCCAGGGAATCACAATAACAACAAATAAAACACTCATTGAACACATGAGAGAGAGAAAAAACAGAGCCTGAATAATTTAAGCGCCTTAAAATATGCCTCAATTTGTCGTGTTTTTTTGTTGTAGCTGTTTATTATTAAGTAGTAAGTACGAAGGCTTTTCCTTTCACCTCCAGGGGAATTCGTTCTTTCATTCCTTCTTTGCACTTTAATGTAAATGACTAAAAAGAAGCCAAAGCGAAAAGCTGTGACAAGTTGCGCGAATAAATTACATTAGACAGCACAGCATCATTGATGCTTTGACATGCGTAAAATCTGAAATACATTTTTTGCTGTTGTTTTGTTGGTATTATGTGGAATTTACCTTGGCATACTTTTAGGCAGTCATTTAAGTATGCAAAGATAGAATTCTAATGGTTGTTAAAAGCAAAGTTTTAGGGGTGAGTAGGATGTTTTTTTTTTTTGAGTGGAGTATATTGACGGGTGGAAAAGTGTTTTCGAAATCATTGATTTAATAAAATATTAATTCGTGGAGTGAAGGGGAAGCACATGTTGGTGATAAAATTCAATTTCAGTTTCATATGAGATGTGAGCAAAAAAACCAAATACTTTGCAATTTAAACCTCATAACCTCAAATATCAACCAGTTTAGAAGGTGACAAAGGCTTCTCGAAATTAACATGGAAAATATTTTGAAATAATTGATTAAAAAAATATTAATTGGCGGAGAGATGAACAGATGCTAGTGAAACTATTCAACTTCAAATTGAGGTGAGAGAATGAAATACTTTGAAATTTAAAGCTCATTATCAAATATCACCCAGTATAGAATGTCCCAAAGGTTTTCCAGAGATATTATTGTGGAATATACAGGGACAAATTTTTCAAGAACTATCAACGACGAAAACTAGAAGTTTTTAGGAATATCCGAGCAAAATGTCTTGATTTTATTAGAAAGATTAGAAAGGACTATTAGGTCTAGAGATGAAGATTTTTAAAATATATATATTTTTTTTACAAGGACTATCAGATCCCAGCCTATGGATTTTAATGATTAATATTAGTTTGTGTTTTTGGATCTTCTAGAAAGATTTTTTGAAAGAAATCGATTATTAAATTTGATAAGAAGGTGTTTTAAAGGATAGGATTTTTGAACTTTTTAAGAAGACTTTTACAAGGACGATATGATGAATGTGTTAAGTAAATTTTCCCAAGCCTAATACTGATAATTGTAGTAAATTTAAAAAACAATGACAATCCGATTTGTTCACAAATTGGACTTTTTTGTTCCAATTAATATTTTCTTTAACTATCGGGGACATAGTCAAAATTTAAAGATTTCAATGAATATTTTTTGAAGGCCATCAGTCCATATACCTATTCTATTTAATATTTTTATGGGGCTATCAGCGCCATAGTCGTGGAATTTTGTAATTAATATTTTTCCAAGGACTATCTACGCTACGGAATATTTAAGCCAAAAACTATCCAATCCTCAGGCGAGTTTTTATGAATATTTTTTCAAGGAGTATCCGAGTCATAGTCGTGGATTTTTAATGAATATCAATCGAAGGCATTATTAAATAATTTTAAGAATAGGCCTTTAAGCTATAGAGGTGGATTTTTAATAAATATTTTTTCAAAGGACTATCCGGCCATAGGCGTGGATTTTTATAATTTTGTTCGTGTATTGTATTTTTAGATTTTAAGATGACTTTTCCAATGACTATCGGAACAACAAATTAGGGCTTTTCAAGGAGCCATTTATGTGATAATTTAAAAAAAAGTCCTTAAAAGACTATGCGAACCATAGGCGTAGACATTTTAATTAATATTTTTCAATTTTTTTTCGACAGTGGGAATTTTTTTAAGAGATTTTTTTCCAGGACTTTTAGAAAAGATTGTTTTCAGGAACTATCATGCCCCATAAGCGAACATTTTAAAGATTTTGTCCATGACTGAACAGTGGATTTTTAAGACATTCTATACTATCCTATTTTATACTATCCGATGATTAGATTTTACTAATATTTTTTAAAGTTTGATTTTTTAAAATATTTATCAAGGATTCGATTTTTTCATAAAATAATTTCAAGGACTATTTCAGACACTAGCTTGATTTTGTTCAAGCACTATAGAAGCTATGATCATGGATTTTATAGACTACTAAGCGTTTTTGTTTTCAATGAGTGAAATCTGAATTTTAAATTTTTGGGAAGTACTACAGCTTGAATCATTGAAATATGTTTGTAAAGGATTGAATTTTTCCAAAGAATAAATCATAGATGTTTCAGAAATTGTTTAACGACATAAATCGTACAGTTTTTAAAGATTTTTTAACGTATTTAATTTTATATTTTCAAGAAATGATTTTATGTATTGAGGCGGAGAAAAAAAATGTGATTAATTTTTAATTTAAAATGTTTAGAATTATTTCCCAAGAGATAAATCAGAGACTGGGCAAATGTTTTTCCAACCCCTGCAACGTGAATTTTTCAACATGTAACTTTTAGAAAATTTTCAAAGACTCTCTGTTCCTAAAGCAGGATTAAAATAATTCGAAACTGGGATTTTTAACTCTATTGTCGAATTTTGTAGGAATATATTTTTCAAGGTTAATTTTTAGGAGCGGTTATACCTCTAAGATTATATTTCTTAAGAAGAATAATTTTTTTAATATTTGCCAATAAAGACCACCAAACTTGGATTTATAAAAAGGATAAATATTTGTACAATATTTTAAAGGACTATTATATAGTCATATATCCTGTTTGACTCAAAAATCCTCACTGCCTACAATTAGTCGTTTATGAGAATTTATATATTTCTAATTTTTTGGAGTTAAAAAATATCAATAGAATATCTTAGCGCATTAGAAATACAAATCTCTTCTTTTAAAAGTCAATGTGATCCACGATATCAGCCACACCTAACAAAATACCACAATCACACCACTAAAAAATAAAAATATCAAAAACGAAACCGAAAACTTTGCAATCAATTGAATTACTTAACGACCCTGTTTTTCTCATATTTTTGCAAAACACGTGGCAGAGACCATAACAACTGGACACGTAAATTTCAGAAGAAAAAAAGAAAAAACCCCAAACCATGAAAAAAGCGAACCATAAATTTATTACCCAAACATTGGGACACAGAAAACAAAGTTATTTGGCAAAGGGACTAAACGGTGTTTCGGCGTGGAAAAGTCATAAAACATTGAAAACTTTTCGCTTTTCCATAAAATGTTGGTTTCAAATTTATTTCTCATACCACCATGGTGTTTAAAAAATATTTAAAAAGTAGCAAAAAATGAAAAAAATGCATAAGTATGCCTCAAGGTTTATTTTATTTATTTTTTTGTTTTGCTAATGGTTTTGCAAAAATTTATAATTTCATGTGGAAATTATGCAAACAAGGGCGAGAGAGTGACAAATATAAACTCAATATAAACTCAATAAATGTGTAAATAATACACGTGTGTGTATTAATCACAATGGGAAACATATGACATAATATATTAAGAATATGTTAGATATGATGAAAAAGGGCTAATTTGAATGTAAATGCTTAAATATTATCCACATTGGCATTATCACAGGTTCTGAAAAAATACTAAATAATAGTGAAGTCTACTTTTAGGTTCATTTAGGTATAGCATACCCTTAGGAGCTTTAATAAATAAGTATGTGACACTGGAAATGTTTGTCCTCTCTTTTCATTGATGAACAATATTAATTTATATATATTTAAGATATATTTTATAATTTATAAAAATAATGTTTCCCTAAAACAACTCATTAACACTTTATCTTAAATTAATATTTATATATTTATTAAAACTGTTAAAAATCTGTATGTATATAAACATGGCAACATATTGGACTTACCTAATGACATAATTAACACAAACCACACTTTGGGGTTTCAATTTGTCATAGACAATGGTGGCCTGTGTCACAATCCAACAATAGCCACCATATTTGCCCAGGAAACGATAGCGACAGGTTTCACCCTGGCCCTTGGATAAAACTGGAAGGGAAGAAAAAAATTGAAAACATTAATAAAATAGATGAAAAAAATAAGGAATGTAAAAAACTTAAGGATTTATAATCATTTTTCTAGAGGACTTTTAATCGTGGATTTTTAAAGGTATATTTTTTCTAGAGGACTGGATTTTTTGTGGATTTTTAAAGGTATATTTTTTCTAGAGGACTGGATTTTTTGTGGATTTTAAAAGGTATATTTTTTCTAGAGGACTTTTAGGCGTGGATTTATAAAGAATCATTTTTCTAGAGAACTACCAGGCGTGGATTTATAAAGAATCATTTTTCTAGAGAACTACCAGGCGTGGATTTATAAAATTATTATTATTCTGGAATACTATTAGGCGTGGATTTAATTAAATAATAATTCTCAAGATGACTTTCGGGCGGGGATTGTTCAAAAAATAATTTTATAGAATACTTTGAGGAGTGGATTTTTAAAGAATAATTTCATAGAACACTTTTAGACGTGGATTTAAAATTAATAATTTTAAAGAAGGCTTTTAGGCGTGGATTTTGAACAATAATTTCATAGAATAAAAAATCATTTTTTTAGAGGACTATTAGGCGTGGATTTATAAAGAATCATTTTTCTAGTGGACTATTAGGCGTGTATTTATAAAGAATCATTTTTCTAGTGGACTATTAGGCGTGGATTTATAAAGAATCATTTTTCTAGTGGACGATTAGGCGTGGATTTATAAAGAATCATTTTTCTAGTGGACTATTAGGCGTGGATTTATAAAGAATCATTTTTCTAGTGGACTATTAGGCGTGGATTTATAAAGAATCATTTTTCTAGTGGACTATTAGGCGTGGATTTATAAAGAATCATTTTTCTAGTGGACTATTAGGCGTGGATTTATAAAGAATCATTTTTCTAGTGGACTATTAGGCGTGGATTTATAAAGAATCATTTTTCTAGTGGACTATTAGGCGTGGATTTATAAAGAATCATTTTTCTAGTGGACTATTAGGCGTGGATTTATAAAGAATCATTTTTCTAGTGGACTATTAGGCGTGGATTTATAAAGAATCATTTTTCTAGTGGACTATTAGGCGTGGATTTATAAAGAATCATTTTTCTAGTGGACTATTAGGCGTGGATTTATAAAGAATCATTTTTCTAGTCATCTAGAATTTGGATTTATAATAAATAATAAACTTCCACAAAAACCATTTGTTCCATTTCCTCTCCTTTTCTTGCGTACATTTCATCCTGCCACCATGTGCTAATTTATTTAGCTCATCTATAAAAAAAAAATCCCTTGAAACTAAATTCCGCTTTTATAGTTGCAGCACTTAAAAATTTGTTGTATAATTACCTAATTGAAATATGTTAGCAATTAGCTGTATTAAGTGTTTTCTTTATCTTCCGAATGTTGTTAAAAGTCTTTAGTTTTAATAAGTTCGCAAAAATGGATATGGCATTCTTGAAACTTCAAAACCATTTAAGAATTTTTATGCAGGAACTTTCTCCATTCAGAAACTACGCATTTTACCATTTTCCAGAAAACATCAAGGTTCTTCAAAATGCAGCAGCAGCACATACACCATATTATTCTCAACTACCATATATCCTTTTTTCTGAGGATACCAAAGTTATCAAAAACTAATCCGCAACTACTTTGCAACACTTCATACCAAAAAGAGAGAAACTAAAAACTTCAATGAATTGCCATACTTTTGGTGGATGATGATGGTAACTTTTTTTGTGCCACCTATCCCCTGACGATACCTTTATTGGGAAGTCCAATGAATAGAAATTCCAAATGAAATCTTTACTTTGGCATTTTCCTTCATTTGTTTTTTTGTTTCTGCATAGATATCTAAGGATAACACCCTTTTATCCTTTACCAATCACCTTAACTCATTCAGGTGTGACGAGAATGAATTTCCCCATTTATAGGAAAAAGAATACGCATATTTTCCAACTTAATACACTTCTAATGATCCACCAGAAGCGGATTTTCCCCTTAGTCATGTTATGTATGTTGTGTTGTATGTTATGTTGTTTGGTGCGCTGGTCCTATCTCCCTACCTTGAGGGTTACAGCAATGAATTTGTGAAAAAAATTACATTTTCTAAAATTTCTATAACGAATTACGGTTATGATATGGGAGTTTTTATGTTTCTTCTTCTTCTTTTATGTGTAAATCGCATATTGTTGTAGCAGATCATATCTCTGTATCAGATGTAATGAAAGGATAAGGCATCGAAAGTCCATTATGCAAAGTTTGTAGATTGATTTTGGTGTGAGGGGAATTACATAACTTATTAAATCGAAAGGAATTTTAGCCGTAGATTTTTATGAATAATTTTCTAGAGTTTTACAAGAAGTGAATTTTTAAAGAAAATTTTTTAGATAAATTTTATGCGTGGATTTTTTTATTCAATAAATTTTTAGAGGACTTTTACTGAATAATTTTTCAGAGGACAATTAGGCGTGAGTGTTTAAGGAATACTTTTCTAGAGGTCCTGAAGGAGTGAATTTGTTAAATAATATTTTTTTAAAGGCGTATATTTTTTAATGAATAATATTTAGGGAACTTTAAGGCATGGATTTCAACTGACTATTTTTAGGGGACTTTTAGGCTTGGATTATTTAATTGGATTGGATTTAATCAATAATTTTTAGAGGACTTTAGGCGTAGATTTTTTAATCAATAATTTTTTAGAGGACTTTTAGGCGTGGAATTTTTAATAAATAATTTTTAAGAGGACTTTTAGGCGTGGAATTTTTAACAATAATTTTTTAGAGGAATTTTAGGAGTGGAATTTTTAATCAATAATCCCTTATAGGACTTTTTCTGGAGTGGATTTTTTAGCCAATATTTTTTTAGAGGACTTTTCCTGGCATGGATTTTTTAGCCAATATTTTTTAGAGCTCTTTTAGGCGTGTTTTTTTTTAATCAATATTTTTTTCGAGGACTTTAAGGCGTGGAATTTTTAATCAATAATTTTTTAGAGGACTTCAGGCGTGGAATTTTTAATCAATAATTTTTTAGGGAACTTTTATGCGCGGATTTTTTTATTGAATATTTTTTTTAGAGGACGTTTAGAGCGTGGATTTGTTTATTGAATAATTTTTAGAGGACTTTTAGGCGAGGATTTTTTATTGAATTTTTTTAGAGGATTTTAGGCGATGATTTTTTATTGAATATTTTAAGAGGACTTTTATGCATGGATTTTTTATTGAATAATTTTTAGAGGACATTAGAAGACCTTTAGGCGTGGATTTTATTACTGACTAATTTTTAGAGGACTTTTAGGCGTGGATTTTATTATTGACTACTTTTTTAGAGGACAATTTTTTCAAGAGATCTTTTATTCCTCCATATTTTTTGAATAATTGTCTGGAGGGCCTTTTGCGCGTGGATTTGTTAATGAACATTTGTCAATTTGACTTTTATGCTTAGATTTTTAATGAATAATTGTGGAATCATTTTTGAGGGGTCTACAAGTAATGGATTTTTAAATTAATAATTTTTTTATCGGTTTAAAAAGCGTGGTTTTAAATGTCTAATTTTCCTAAGGACTTTCGGATGTGGATTTTTTAACGAATAATTTTTCCAAAGCGTGAATTTCTTTATAAATACTTTTCTAGGGGTCTTTCAGTCGAGGACTATTTAATGAATAAAATACTAGAGGGCTTTAGGGTGTGGGTTTTTAATGGGGTTTTTTAATGAACACATTTTCTAGAGGATTACAAAGTGTAGATTTTTTAATTATTATTTTTTCAAGGGTCTTTAAGAAGTGCAATTGTTAATTAATACTTTTGCCAAGGTATTTTAGGCGTAGATACTTTATTGTTTAATTTTCTAGAGGAATTTTGTCGTAGATTTTAAATGAAACATTTTCTAGGGAACTTTTAGTCGTGGATTTTTTTAATGAATAGTTTTCGAGAGGATTTTTAGGCGTGCATTTTTTAATAAATCTTTTTTCAAAGAACTTATAGGCATTTTTAATTCAAAAAATAAAATTTTCAAAAATCCATCACTCCAATTTCCCCCCTTTCCTTCCCAATTTATTTATTTCGTTAAATGTTTTTGTTGTTTTTTTTTTTTTTTTTTTTTTGTAACGCGAAATCTGCTTTTCATAATCTATGGCACATATATGCTTCTGCTGGCTGGCTGCTTCTCTATTCGAGCGTATACAATGAAATTGCTTTGATGACGATGATGCTGCTACTATTGTATGCATGCATATTTCTTCTTCTTTTTATTTTTCTTTAGATATTTTTATTATTGCATATCTTCCTATGTATGTGTGTGTGTAATGTCATCTTGACACAACAATATCTACTCGTTGTGTGTTTCATAAATGGTTCAGATGAGACTGCATGCATTTATACAAATACCAATGCCGGTCCCCAACTGCATAGATGAACTATCGCAAAACGTATATTTTTCCACAGATTCATTTTATTTGATTTCGTGTTGTTTTTGTTGTTGCTCGTTCAATCTTTTCTTCAAAAACTACTGAAGAAAAATTGTTTTGTAAATTGTTTATATCACCATTGCAGTTTACATGAGTGTGTGATTTGGGGGAGGGTTAGAGGTTTTACATGTGATGGAATCAGTATGTGTAGTATCTTCTTCTGTCATCGTTTTTCGTGGCAGTTTATGAACTGTGGTCCAAAAGAACACATTAGAGGCTACAAAATTATATTGGACTTTAAGTTTAGAACTTACTTTCTATATGACTTTTGGTCGTGGAGTTTTGAACACACTATATATCCAGAGGATTTTAGGCATGGTTTTAAGTGAATAATTTTCAAGAGGACTATAAGTGATCATCGATTTTCTGACAATAGTTTTGAAGATATTTTACTGACAAAATTTACTGTGGGTTTTTTAATATATAATTTTCTAGAGGACTTTTAGGCGTGGATCTGTTAATGAATAATTTTTATGCGAATTTTGGGCGTGTATTTTAATAATAATTTTCTAAAGGACTTTTAGGTGTGGATCTGTTAAAACAATT